CCCCACCAAAAAACCCTCACTGACAGACTGCAAGTATAAAACAAAAGCAAGCATGTTGTAACTGCACACAGCATGGACTGATCTCCATGTGTAATACTTGCTAAAAGTTATTAATGTTAATCTGTTTTCTATCTTCCATCATATGTTTTAAAGCAACCTGTATATTAAGCACATATGGTTAAACTTTCCCATAGTAAGAGACCATGTAAATTACCTGCTAAGGGCTATTGATGTTAATCTATTTTCTACTCTTCCACCTAATGATTTAAAGCAACCTGCATATTAAGCAACATATAGTTCAACTATATTACCTGCTAAGGGTTGTTACAGTTAATCTGTTTTCTACTTTCCCACTAATGAGCTAAAGCAACCTGCATATTGAGCAACATAAGGTTAAATCTTTCTCTAGTAAGAGACCATGTAAACTACCTACTAAGGATTATTACTGGTAATGGTTTTCTGCTTTCCCAGCTAATGGGTTAAAGCAACCTGCATATTAAGCAACATAAAGTTCAATCTCTATATGGTAAGAGACCATGTAAATTAACTGCCTAGGATTATTACTGTTAATCTGCTTTCTACTCCCCCAGCTAATGATGTAAACAACCTGTACTTTAAGCAAGATGTAGTTCACATTTCCCACAGTAAGAGACCATGTAAATTACCTGCTAAGGGTTATTACTGCTAATTAATCTCCACTCTCCCATCTTATGACCCAAAGCAACCTGCATCTTACGCAACATAAATATGCTAAGTGCACCCCACACAAACGCAGGACTCTACTAGCAGGTGCTAAACAAGACAGCGTAGACATTCTTTGTCTCCAAGAAACACTCTTTGCACACTGCAGGGTCCCAGAGTTTGGGAAACAGGAATATACAAGAAACATAGAATGTGACGGCAGATAAGAACCATACGGCCCATCTAGCCTGCCCAATTTTCTAAATACTTTACTTAGTCCCTGGCCTTATCTTATAGTTAGGATAGCCTTATGCCTATCCCACGCATGCTTAAAAGGACCACTCTAGGCACCCAGACCACTTCAGCTTAATGAAGTGGTCTGGGTGCCTGGTCCAGCTAGGGTTAACCCATTTTTTTATAAACATAGTTTATAATAGGGTTAATCCAGCCTCTAAAGTCTCTAGTGGCTGTCTCATTGACAGAACCCTCACACACACAGCATACAGACAGCACCCTCTCACACAAACAGCACCCTCACACAAACAGCACCCTCACACAAACAGCACCCTCACACACACAGCACACAGCATACAAACAGCACCCTCACAAACACACATAAACACCCTCACCCACATAGCACACTACCAGCACCCTCACACACACACACACACATCACACTAACAGCACACACACACCAGTGTGTGTATGTGTGTGTGTGTGTATATATATATATATATATATATATATATATATATATATATATATATATATATATATATATACACACACACACACACACAGTGTGTGTTTGTGCTTTCGGGGCACACCCTAATTCAATAGGCTGCGCACGCCTATGAATGTAACATAACTAACTATAGCATCAGGAAAGTGAATGTGTTTCTTTCCAGCACTATATAAAACATAACAAATACAGGACTTTGTGAGCATCTTCTTCTGAAAGTTAATTCACATTGTGATATAGCCTTGTGGATGGTTTTATTAGAGTGTTAAAAACCAGAATAACTAATTATGTACAGAACGTTTAATAATATGCATAATGCAGTATTTTATGTATGTTCTGTAAAAAATAAAAAGATAGGATTCAATTTGCATTTTAAAAATGTTGCACGTTTAAATTTGCAACTGAATTATTGTTCACAAATTTTAATAACATTTTTATACCCACATTGCTTGTAAAGGTTGTATAGTGTGTAAATAATTTACAACTACCTTTTTATTTAATTGTGCATTGTTTTAAAACTCAGTGGGTGTGTAAAATGTTTAATGAGATTGCGTATAAATTCTAATGTCAATCTCAAGAGCAAGTTAAAAATAATACATGTTCCCAGAGACGTATCTTCCGCAAGGCAAACAAGGCATCTGCCTTGGACGGCTCTTTGCAGGGGACGAAAAAAAAAAAAAAAAGCTCAGGCAGATCCCTTGTTTGCCTTTTGTCCTGGGGGGCTCAAGAACTGGGCCACTTTTGAGCCCCCCCGAGGCAGGTGGCGGGATGCAAAGGAGCATACTCACTTGAGCTCTTCATGCTCAGCTCCCTCGCGCACAGCTTAATGAAGCCGGGAGCTGGAATATGACGTCACTCCGGCTCCCGGCATCACTAAGCGGCGTGCGAGGGAGCTGAGCAGGAAGATTAGAGCTCTCTCGCAGCCTACTCTGCCTGTCCAGCCCCTGCCTGCCCCCACAGTAGGTACGTAACCCACTCCAGCTCTCCCAGGGAAGCTGGGTGGATTTAAAATAAAATTAAAAAAATAATAATTTGTGAGTGTTGGTGGAAATGTTTGTGTGTATTTGTCTGTAAGTGTGTGTGTCTAAGTGAATGTGTGTGTGTGTCTAAGTGAATGTGTGTGTGTGTGTTTCTGTAAGTGTGTATGTGTTTGTAAGTGTGTGTATCTGTGAGTGAATGTGTGTTTGTGTGTCGGTCAGTGAGTGTGTGCGTCTGTCAGTGCGTGTCCGAGTAATAGTGTGTGTCTGTCTATCAGGGTGTCAAATCAGTGAGTGTGTATGTCATTGTTTGTCAGTGTATATGATAGTGTGTGTCTGTCAATGAGTGTATGCGTCTGTCAATTAGTGTATTCGTCTGTCAGTCAAAGGGAGGCCTTGACAGGAAGGGGCGAGGAAAGTTTAAATTAGGGGTGGGTGCCCGGGCACCATCCTGCCTAGGGCAGCACAAATCCTAAATACACCACTGCATGTTCCTAAGAGTGTATGGTACATTTTTTTATTATTATTATAGAAAGTACTTGGTTATGTAATATTTCTTAATAGAGAACAATAAGCAATCAGTGAGAATATGTATGCTATTTATACTTGTAATTCTTTTTGATATAGTAATGTCTAATTTTAAAAATATTAATATTTTTTGCTTATTTTTGGGTTGATTAGAATGTTTCTGGTAATATGGTTCCTTACTATCTATTCTTATATATACCATTGGGGTTATTCACTAAAGTCTGCACCACGTGGAGCAAAACTATCTGGCCATATACTGGACCAAGAACAGGTCTGAACATGGTGTGGGTTTCCTGCCCCAATACCGCCAGACAGCTACAATCTGGACCGAATCGTTCGAATCCATATTTTTTTTATTTTTTTTAATATGACATAGTCCCCCCTAATGTGGGATCAGGTGGGGAAGATTAATATAAATAATAAATTATTTAATATTAATAAATAATCTGTTCACCCCTTGCCTCCACCTGT